TAAATTTGTTAGTCTCTAAGGTGCCACAAGTACTCCTCGTTCTTTTAGACAGCAGTGTGACACTGATATTCTATCTATACACAAGTATAAAGCATTGCATGCCAACATTTAAAACATTGTAACATTTCTTTCAGTTTAGCAATTTTCTAATAATTAAATGAGTGTAAGATCGTCAAAGCAGCAAGCACTGCTTTGTATTAAAAAAAAAAGCAGTTCAGGTGAAGTATTGCAACTGAGAATGATGAAAACTAAGATAGGCACTGTTCCTTCTTACTGATGGTTTTAATCAAAGGGATTTTAATTTGCTTTTCAAATAGAAGCAAACCTTTGCTAAAGCCAAGTTTAAAATATTAATTATGGTATTTTGCATTAGTCTAAAAACATAAGTTGTTACAATCTGATGGAAAACTTTTTTATAACTCTGTAGTTCTGTTTACTTCCTTAACTCAGTGGTTCTCAAACTTCTTTTTTCGCGGACCACTTGAAAATTGCTGAGGGTCTCAGCGGACCACTTAGTGATCTTTCCAAATGTTTGTACCACTAGCTAACTATTGTAAAGCACTTTGGATAAAAGCGCTACATAAAAAAACTTAATATTTAACTTTTTTTCCTACAAATAAAAGCACACAACTCACATTTTAATATCAGTAGTCTTTCTAATGTGATGGATGTGTCCTCTCCCTCCTGCTGCGGCAGCCCCCATGCTGGGGCCAGGAAGGAAGGGGGTCTCTCCCCCACCACAGAGCTGAGGCTGGGAAGGGGGGCCGTCTCTTCCCAGCAGCCGCACCCCTGGTGCTGGGGAAAGTTGCCTCTTTCTCTGGCTGCCGCAGCCCTTCACATCCCATATTCCCCCCACCCCCACTGTGCCCTCCCACCTATCCCCTCCAAGGTCATCACCTCACCTTACCTGTGCGTCTTCCCCAGGGACCAGGCACCTAATTAGTGGAGCCACACCTGCGCGGCTCCACTAATTAGGTGAGTGGCCCTTCACTCTCTTGTGTGCGGCCGCCCAGGTGTGTACCTTAGAAGTAGCTATCCGCAGACCACCTGAATGGAGCTCGCGGACCACTGGTGGTCTGCAGACAACAGTTTGAGAACCTCTGCCTTAACTCATTTTGCTGCCTCTATGCTGACCTGAATTTATCACTTTTGGCAAAGGAAAAATATGTATGCAATATGTTCCCTTTTCCAGCATAAAATGGAGTAAGACCTAATAGTTGTGAAATTGATTCTTTTATTTTACAGAAATCTAGTATTTTTTTAGATATTTTTGCAGCATGATGACAAATGTTGGGTTCAAAAGCCCCAAGAGAGCTGAGAAACAAAAACAAAAAATAAAGTAGGAATATCACAGACAAGTGAATTACATAAATTGAGTGCAAAACTTTCAAAAGGAATAAAGGAATTGGGTGTACAAAACTTCATACTAAGGGGAAAATTGTGCTTGGCTCCTGCACAGAGGCACAAGTCAGAGAAGTGGGTGCAATGTGCCTCCTTTCCTTATGTTCCCATGTTGCAGCTGGGCACAATTGAGATCTTGCACTCACCTAAGTACTAGCCTGTCAAAAAAGGAGTGAGGTAGAAGCCATGGCCTTGCCTCTCTCCTTTGTATCAGCTAGCAAACCTGATCCCCCACAGAGGGAGTGCACACTACACAATCTTTAAAGGATGGTGCAGCAGCTAGACAACTCATCTCCTGGGATCTTTGTGTTTATGTGTGACACAATACTTCAATGAGGCCCCGCTGGGAAAATATACCACCACCCCACCCAACAGTGGGCTCTGTTAAATCTAGGCAGCTCTAAATTCACAAGAGATGCTTATGCTTTTGTGATCAATAACCAAATCAATTCAGTGAACCTGGCTAACCTACAGGGGCAATCTTTGAGAGAGCTTGGTTAGTACACTTGAAAGTGAGATGGTTCTCTGGAGGCAAGCAGGAATATGAGATCTGTCATGGCTGACTGCCAGCTTGATCCAATCCATGCATCATAATAAGGAAAAGCAGTATTTCTTACTGAAGGAGCCACAGTCTCCGTCTCTTCTTGTTTATGTTGGGAATTATACACGATGACCATCTCTCCAGAAGAAATTATGCTTTCATGTCTGACCTCAGTCTTCTTTTTACTGGACCTAATGTGCACAGTTCTCTTAATGTATATTTCCTAACTTTTTGGAATACTTGATACTGTTCTGTAGACTTTTTAGCACATGTGATGAACTTGGGACTCATTTCATCATGCTGCAATGAAATGAAGTTGAGTTTGAAAAGTGCATTTGCACATAGAACCAGTACAGAAGAAAACTCATTGCTGTGTTCAAAAGTAGCAATCTAAGATTAAACCAAGAACAGTGTGAAGAACTAACATCCCACTCATAATAGGGGTCTACATCACAACTGCCCCCTTGGCAGATCTTAAGAGCATGTCTACACTACAGATGTTTAGACTGACACAGCTATGGCACTGCAGCTGTGCCGCTGTAGTGTAGACACTTGCTACAGCGATGGAAGGGGTTTTTCTGTCACTGTAGTTAATCCACCCCCTCAAGAGGCGGGTAGTTAAATTGTCAGAAAAATTCTTCTATCAACGTATACCAGGGCTTAGGTCAGCTTACCTACATCTTTTGAAGATGTGACTTTTTCATACGCCTGAGCAATGTAGCTAGTTCAGCCTACATTTTAGGTGTAGATCAGGTCTTAGTGTTTTTATACCTGTGCAGTGCTTAGATGCTATCGTAATAAACACTGTATAAATTAGGACTGTCAAGCAATTAAAAAAAATAATCACAATCACACGATTAAAAAGATTAATCACACGATTAAAAAAATTAATTGTGATTAATCACACGATTAATCATGCTGTTAAACAATAATAGAATACTATTTAAATATTTTGGATGTTTTCTACATTTTCATATATATTGATTTCAATTACAACACAGAATACAAAATGTACAGTGCTCAGTTTATATTTATTTTTATTACAAATATTTGCACTGTAAAAAAAAAATAGTATTTTTCAGTTCCCCCATTGCAAGTACTGTAGTGCAATCTCTTCATCATGAAAGCTGAATTTATAAAACAATGCAAAACTTTAGAGCCCACAAGTCCACTCAGTCCTACTTCTTGTTCAGCCAATTGCTCAGAAAAACAAGTTTGTTTACATTTGCAGGGGATAACGCTGCCCACTTCTTGTTTACAATGTCACCTGAAAGTGAGAACAGGCATTCTCATGGCACTGTGGTAGCCAGCATCACATGATATTTATGTGCAAAATGCGCTAAAGATACATATGTCCCTTCATGCTTCAACAGCCTTCTAGAGGACATGAGTCCATGCTGATGACGGGTTCTGCTCGATAACAATCCAAAGCAGTGCAGACTGATGCAACTTTTCATCATCTGAGTCAGATGCCACCAGCAGAAGTTTGCTTTTCTTTTTTGGTGGTTCGAGTTCTGTAGTTTCCACATCGGAGTGTTGCTCTTTTAATACTTCTGAAAGCAGGCTCCACACCTCGACCCTCTCAGATTTTGGAAGGCACTTCAGCTTTTTAATCCTTGGGTCTAAGGATGCCATAGCCATCTTTAGAAATTTCACATTGGTACCTTCTTTGTGTTTTGTCAAATCTGCAGTGAAAGTGTTTTTAAAATGAACAACATGTGCTGAGTCGTCATCTGAAATTGCTATAATATGAAATACATGGAAGAATATGGGTAAAACAGAGCAGGAGACATACAATTCTCCCCCCAAGGAGTTCAGTCACAAATGTAATTAACGCATTATTTTTTAACGAGTGTCATCAGCATGGAAGCATGACTTCTGGATTGGTGGCCAAAGCATGAAGCAGCATACATATGTTTAAATACCTTGCAATGCCGGCTACAAAAGTGCCATGCGAACTCCTGTTCTCACTTTCAGGTGACACTGTAAATAATAAGCAGGCAACATTATGTCCTGTAAATATAAACAAACTTGTTTGTCTTTGCGATTGGCTGAACAAGAAGTAGGACTGAGTGGACTTCTAGACTCTGAAGTTTTACATTGTTTTGTTTTTGTAGTTTTACATTGTTTTTGTTTTGCAGTTATGTAACCAAAAAATCTTCATTTGTAAATTGCACTTCAGTACTTATATGAGGTGAACTGAAAAATACTATTTCTTTTGTTTAGCATTGTTAGAGTGCAAATATTAGTAATCAAAATAATAATATAAAGTGAGCACTGTACAGTTTGTATTCTGTGTTGTAATTGAAATAACTATATTTGAAAATGTAGAAAAACATCCAAAAATATTTAATAAATCTTAATTGATATTTTATTGCTTAACAGTGCAATTAAAACTGTGATTAATCTCAATTAATTTTTTGAGTTAATCATGAGTTAGCTGTGATTAATCGACAGCCCTAGTATAAATGTCATTGTATAGACCTCTGCCTCCTTCCCGCTTTGCCATTTCAGCCTCTAAGGTACTGTACTGAGGTACAGAGAGGAAAAGTGAATTTTACAAGATCACAGAATAGGTCATTTGCAGAGTTGGGAATAGAATCTACTTTGAAGAGTCCAGCTTTTGCTGCAATGTCTTTGACACCCCCAGATTAGATATTTTGCTGTAATTATTGTGATTCTTGATACATAGGGCCAGGGCTAAATCGAGTGACAAATTTGATAGGAAGCATTTTCCTCTGGGAATATTGGCAGTGACATTGGGAAATTTATTGTGTCTTCCTTTGGAGCATTGAGCAGGAATCGCCCATTAGAATAAGGTGAACCTCATTCCTTCCCTTCTTCTATCTTTCTAAGTATATTTCAAAATATGTGAGTGTTCTGTACATTGATTCATCTAATTTTACACTTTTTCTATTTCTGTGATCATTCTGATGAGTGTTTATTGTAAACCAGACAGCAATATTTTTCAGACTAAATGTTCCATTATAATTTTTATTCTTTTAAACTTCTTGCCATTTGCTTAGCACTTTAACATGTTTAATTTTATTTTTGCCAGTTTCTGGCAGACATGGAAAATAATGCCCTCTTTAAGGATGACATTGAATGTCAAAAACTCATTATGGAAGCAATGAAATACCATCTGTTGCCCGAGAGACGACCCATGTTACAAAGTCCTCGCACAAAGCCTAGAAAGTCTACAGTAGGAGTGTTGTTTGCAGTTGGAGGAATGGATGCAACAAAAGGTGTTGGTTTACATAATATTAGTTGATGACAATGTATATTGAAAATCAGTTGAGTAGAGTTTTGTAAAGATATATTTATTAGATATGTATGTAGGATACAAATTAAAACATTCAAAGGCTATACATTATAATGTACAAAATTCACATATATCTACTGATGTTTTTTACTTCAGTAATAGACATATATAGCAATAAAAATATTACATGTGTGCAAGAAGATGAGTTATGGTTGTTGTAAACCAGTAATGGGATCGCCTCACTTCTGTTCATTTAGATGTTCAGTCAAATGAATGGAAAATCACCTCTGTTCACTTGAGTGTTAATTAACATGGTTAAAAACTTAAGGAAATTATACATAAAAATGTTAATATTAATGAAGACTTGAATACAAACAAAAATAAGTGAAAGCTGCTACAGAATATTTAACTCATACCCTTATTGACTGTTAAAGCATTCTATCAAGGTGTCTCAGAATGGTACTTTTCTGAGCTTTCATACTGTGTGGTGATAACTAGAAACATTTTAGTGAGTTATGAATGCCACGGGAATTAGAACACATTTTCATTCATTCTTAGTTTGTGTATTAATTTTAATATTATATTAATACAGATTATACAAATGATGTTAGTTGTATATCTATAGACTGTGAATGTGTATGTGTGTGTATATGTATGAACCTGCATTTTTTCACAGAACTTCAGATTTTGTTCTAAATATTATGACATGAGGTTAATCTTAATACCTAAATATAGTTCTGTCAGGTTCATTTTATGTCACTTCCTGAAATTTTAATGGTCTTTATAGGCTTAATCCAGCAAGGATGTTGAGCATTCTGGCTCTTGCCCTTCAAAACATTTAATTTTTAAACATGTAATTAATCTGGGATTAATTACATGCTTAAAAATTAAATAATATAATTAAAATTAAAAAATAAATAAAGAATACTACTTGCATTTTAAAGTTAAGCATAGGCTTAAGTGAATTTCAGGATCAAATCCAGAGGGCTCAGCAGGCTGGAGGATCAAGCCTTCTGCCAGTAATTTAAATAGAACACTTTTAGCACATAGCAAATAACTGTTCTCTTTGACTATAACGTGTATATATTTCTGTTAAGGAGCTACGAGCATTGAAAAATATGAACTGCGTACCAACATGTGGACTCCTGTAGCAAATATGAATGGGAGAAGGTTACAGTTTGGAGTTGCAGTATTAGATGATAAGTTGTATGTTGTTGGTGGTAGAGATGGACTGAAGACATTGAATACTGTGGAGTGCTACAACCCCAAAACAAAAACTTGGAGTGTAATGCCACCTATGTCCACACATCGGCATGGCCTTGGTATGTATAACTTCATAATTTTTAAAATGCTAAACCTATGATTGGTTAAGAGCAGTTAAAATCTCTCTTTAAAGCTCATTTGGTTTTATCTTGATACTAGCCTAAATCTGAATTCTAAAATCAGCTAAAATTAAAGTGACAAATTATTTTGATTGATGTGCTGTGGAACATATTTAATATTGGCAGCCAAAAGAGGATGTGATTTGTATTTATTTTAAAGGTGCACCTCTTTTGGTAGGGGTAATGGAAAAGTGATGCCCTTTGTTTTTCCAGGAAGCAGTTGTTTCTCTCTGTTTTTTAGGGGTAGCTGTATTGGAAGGTCCTATGTATGCTGTAGGAGGGCATGATGGTTGGAGCTACCTGAATACAGTAGAAAGATGGGATCCACAGGCTCGTCAATGGAACTTTGTAGCCAGTATGTCAACTCCAAGGAGTACTGTTGGTGTAGCAGTATTAAATGGAAAGTAAGCAAAGGCATTTTCTTGAGAAATAATTTGGTCCCATTTTTGTTTACATTAATTTTTTAAATGTAGCTTTAGAAATATTTTAAAATGAATGTATTGCTCATGAAAGATGTTAGTTGATAGTACTGGGAACAGAAGTCCTCTTCTTATAGAAAAAGTACAGCATTGACTATGCAAGCTTCCCCATCACACCCCAATGTGCTTCAGTGCTGTAAAGAAGGAGCCATCTCTAAGGGCAAGCAAGCAATTCTATCTCCTTATTAATGAAGTCCCTGACACCTTTGCTGAGGGCACCAGTTGGAGTTCTAGTTTCTGTTAGTGTTGAACCTATGTATTGATGAAAATTAACCTTTTGTAACTCTGCAAATGGCAAAATAATCAAATTTGCCAAAACCAAACTTTAATACATACAGGTAATAGTTTCTTCTTCTTTGGCTTTTGTCGTTTAGAACTACATTTTCAAAGCCATAACCTAATTAAAGCAAAATACTTCGTCACACAATTATTTTTTTTAAAAACAAGACATGTTCAAGTTCTCATGTTTTTAGAAGAATGAAAGCACAAAGTTTACTAAACCAACAAAGACTTGCACTAGTCCATATTTTTAGAAGTAGAAAAAGGCTTCTAAAATATATTAAGTGCTTTTATTTCTGCCACTTGTCCATGTCTGTAGTAAAGAATCCACATAACATCTATAGCTGTGCAGTACAGTTTTAGCCTGTACTATAGATGATGTAGATATGGGTGTAGAATAATCCATTTTAAAGACTATTAACTCCCCTTACACTGAGGGCCGGTGCAAGGATATTTTGCACCCTAGGCGAAACTTCCACCTTGCGCCCCCCCCTCCCCCTCTTTCCCCCCCCCCCCGAGCATCGCTTATTATAAACTTTCAAAAATGAATACTGCATAATGTGGCATTGTTCATTAGAATTAATACAGAGAGGGAGGATTTGGCCCATGAAACAATAACTGTATTAAGATGCGGCCTGTGAAAAAGTTTGAGAAACCTGGACTTAAATTTCTTTGGTGACATGATGTAATATTCAGTATTGCCAACCTCAAACATTCAGAACTCATGAGTTGGGCCCCCACAAAATCACTCGATATATGACCTATCAGTCCTCATCCTCAAAGGAAACCTGCAAAACACTTTCAAAAGATGAGCCTGGGAGCTTGAATTCAAAATGTTGCTAGACATTAAAAATCATGATCTTCATAAAGATACTGGATTTATGGTTAATGACAACAATTTGCAACCCACTAATCTCCCCTTTTGTCCTGGGATTACAAGGGAGTTAATGGGCTACTTCACCTTGAATGGTCCCCTTGAATATGTGCTAACTACTTGTGCTAAACTATCTGTTAGATCTAGTGTTTAGCTGTGACACTGTTAGTATTTTTTCAGACCTGAAGAACTCTGTGTAGCTCAAAAACTTGCCCCCTCACTAACAGAAGTTGGTCCAATAAAAGATATCACCTCATCCACTTTGTCTCTTTTAAATAATGTGACAGCACAAAGGATTGTATAAAAATCATGTGTCCCTGTAGCTAAACCCCATCACCCTGGTCCTTTTCAAGTGTTCATAGTAATAATTTCAATAACAGATTTGCAGACCTTTGATATCTCTACTTAAAAATGACCTGACAACTTTCCAACAACTGATGAAAAGTGCTTTTTTGAAATGTTCTTTATCAAATAGGACCCTCCCATGTGATTTCATATTGTAAAGTTTGTCTTTAAGTTTAAACTAATATTTACTGAAACTTCTGTTTCTATTTGACATTGACTCCGCTTATGTATAATATGTGTTTCTTACTTTACTGATCACTTCCTTATCTGGGAAGTGTGAAACCAACTGTCTTGGCATGATTTTCCTAGTTTTGTGGCTGTAAATCAGTTGAATTACTTTTTAAAATGTTAGCTACATTAATTTCTTTGTATGTTGTGGTGTTCTGAACAGTTTAAAGAGCAGGATACATCACTGCAACTGGAATTGTTTTCTTGATTTAAACACTGCAAATAAAAAAAGTTGGGGCATATTTTTGAAAGCTAGGTTAATGCAAATATCAAGTATTTAATCATGTAACTTTTTAAATAGGTTGTTTTTTCATAGAAATCCCAGATTAATCCATATACGGAAATACAACTAGAAAGTCCAGGGTTTTTTTTGAGCTGTGGAGGCTTGGCCCATGCAACATGTGGGGAAGGGACCCTGAGGGGCTGCAACTTACAACTCCCAGGTTCAGGTCGGAGCCGCGAAGGTTTCCTGCCAAGCCAGCCAGACGGTGATGGTCAGGAACATTTCCTGGGAACCCCACTCTGCCTGGTGGCCATGGTCCACAGCTGCATCCCTTCTAGTCCTGCGCCGCCTCCCGCTGCTGCTCCCAGGGCAGGAGCCAACGCAGGGCTCCGGCGATCTGCGGGGGACAGAGGCGGCCTCCTCCTCCCCGGGCTCCAACTTTCCCGGCTCCCTGAACCATGGGGCCCGAAGCAACTCCCCTTCTCCCTCTCCCCCCCCAGCTCTAGCTACTGCTGTGTAGGGGAAGCACATGGCCGGGGGCGAACAGGCTGGAGAGCAGCAGGAGCCAGGAAAGTTGGAGCCCGCGGAGGAGGCGGCTGCACGCTCGGATGCCGCCCGCCGCCACTGCCCCTGCTGGAGGGCTCCAGCGATCTGCGGGGGGCAGAAGCGGCGGGCAGCATCCGCGCGCGCGGCCGCCTCCTCCCCGGGCTCCAACTTTCCCAGCTCCCTGAACCGCGGGGCCCGAAGCAACTTCCTGCCCCCCCAGCTCCAGCTGCTGCTGCTCTGGGGAAGCACACAGCCAGGGGCGCGCAGGCTGGAGAGCAGCAGGAGTCTGGAAAGTTGGAGCCCGGGGAGGAGGCGGCTGCGCGCTCGGATGCTGCCCGCCGCCTCTGTCCCCCGCAGATCGCCGGAGCCCTCCAGCAGGGGCAGTGGCGGCGGCGGCAGCTCACACGCCGGGGAGCCGCAGAACCCGAGCACGGTGAGGGGGAAACCAGGGGGTGCGCCTGCCTAGGCTGCAGCCTGGCGCCTCTCCAGGGGGCTGTTGCAAAGGATGCATGCAGGTGGCAGCCCCCATGCGCCCCTCCCAGCTCCCCCCTCGCTGCACTCGGGCTCTGCGGCTCCCAGGAGCAGGCTGAGGGCCCCGTGCCCAGGCGGCGGCGGCAGCGGTTCACATGCCCGGGAGCTGCAGAGCCCAAGGGAGGAGCCGGGGGGGCGCACGGGGGCTGCCGCCCGCATGCATCTGCTGCAGCCTGCAGGAGCAGGGGGGGCGCCGGGCCGCAGCCTGGGCAGGAGGGCAGGGGGTGCGGCTGCTCCCTGCTAGTGGCGCCACCGCCTTTGCAGGGCTGCTGCCCACCCTGCGCCGCGCCGGCTCCTCCATGGCTGGGGCTCGCCGCTTTTTGGCGCCCCCAACCACTTGGCGCCCTAGGCGACTGCCTAGTTTGCCTAGTGGTTGCACCGGCCCTGCTTGCACTAAAGAGAAATGTACCTTTAAGATATGGGCTGAAAATCTCCCTAACCTTTTGCAGGTGAAATTGGTAATGGAAGGTAATTTTTGGAGTTTCCATTAGAACCTTCACTAAACACACACATTTTTCACAGGTAGAAACAGAAAGAATTTAAGAAAGTGGTTAGTTTGTCCAATCATAAAGTCAGCTCATAAAGATGATATTAAGCAATTGTATGATCTTGCTATAAACACAAATGCTCAAATTTATAAAGAACCATAGAAGAGGTAGAAGATGTGAAAAAAACCTGTCAAGAACCATAGAAGTAAGAAATGGGGGTGAAAAAAGTTCATATACTACCTCTCCCTGTCGTTGCAGAATTGTTCATTACTGTACATTTTCTAGTATCTTGTCCAGGCTGGTTTTGAAAGTCTTAGGCAATGCGGATTCTTCTTCAAGTAGATACATCCATGTTATTCCACTTAAGTGTGTGCACACCCAGCGCACCACAGCCAGAGAAATTTGCCTCACAGTATCTGTAGAGGGGTGGTTCATACCTTGTGCCTCCCCTGGCAACATGAGGGGATGCTGCTCTGGCCCTCTCTGAGGCCAGGGTCTACACTACTGCTGCCAGATGATCTAAGCTTTGCATTTTGAGTTACATTTGTAGCATAACTCAAGTCGACGTAGAGCTATGTCGACGAGAGACGCTCTCCCGCCAACATTGCTTCCGCCTGTTGTTGAGGTGGAGTACAGAAATCGATGGGAAAGTGCTCTCCCATCAGTTGAGCGTGTCTTCACTAGACCCACTAAATAGATGCTGCTGCACCTATTGTAGCAGCGCCAGTTTAGCTTTTTAGTGAAGACAAGTCCTTCTTACTGCCTGTGGCTGGAGCTGGAGTCTGTGTGATCTTAGCTTCACAACCCTTCAACTAGTTTAGTTTTCTCTTGTTGTATATTGTTAGTAGTACCCTGTTACTAGAATAATGTTAGTTGTATTAGTTTAATTTTCCTCTGTGCCACTCTAACCAGCATTTAAACCAGGGGTGGCCAACCTGAGCCGGAGAAGGAGTCAGAATTTACCAATGTGCATTGCCAAAGAGCCACAGTAATATGTCAGCAGCCCCCCATCAGTTCCCCGCACCCCCTGCGCCTCCCACCCACCAGCAGCCCCATCAATCACTGCCTCCACCTCCCTCCCCGAACCTCCTGATCAGCTGTTTTGTGGCGTGCAGGAGGCTCTGGGGAGGGGAAGGGGGTTGAGTGAGGGCATGGCAGGCTCAGGGGAGGGGGCAGGAACGGGTGGAGTGGGGACAGGGCCTGTGGCAGAGCCAGGGGTTGAGCAGTGAGCATCCCCCGGCACATTGGAAAGTTGGCATCTGTAGCTCTATCCCCAGAGTTGGTGCCTATACAAGGAGCCGCATATTAACTTCTGAAGAGCCACATGTGGCTCTGGAGCCACAGGTTGGCCACCCTTGGTTTAAACGCTGTCCTTCATGTGGGAGAGAAATCCCCATCAGCAATCCACACA